TTGTTAGCTGCATACTGATTGGCTAAATCTAATCCAGTCGATCACGTGAATTTCTATCCAGAAGTTTCTCATGTAAATGCTATAAGGAAACTAATGTTGCATCTATTTTTTTCCTTTGCTTTCGCCATCACCTTTGACTGCTTATTTCCATTTAACCCTGCTATCTGGAATATAATCTTTTCCTTTTCAACCGTGTTTTTGATTCTTTGAAACTTGTCCAGTGTATTGTGGTCAGAGAATACTAAGCAATACGATTTAGCTGGGAATTATTCAAGCAAGCGTTACAACAAGATCTATTTTACTCCTGATTCAGAATAAATTAGAATTCGAATGAGTAGTCATTTAACTGCTATTAATACAATAAAAAGGAGGATAAAACCTTCATTAAATGAATAAAAACTTAGTACATGAAAACCATGTTGTCATGTGCATATATCGTACGACTGCAACAAATGAAGCTAGACGTATGGTATGCGAAGTGATTATGCAATTACTTACTTACTTACGCCTGTTACCCCCAATCGAGCATAGGCCGCTCACCAGTTTTCTCCAACCAACTCTGTCCTGGGCTTCCCTCTCCAGTTCTGTCCAATGTTTATCCATTCCTCTCATATCTTTCTCTATTTCTCGGCGTAATGTATTCTTTGGCCTTTCTCTTTTCCTTTTGCTTTGAGGGTTGTGAGGTCTTGTCTTGTGACTCAGTTAGGTGCTTTTCGTAGTGTGTCCTATCCACTTCCACCGCTTCTTCCTGATTTCCTCCTTCACTGGAATCTCGTTTGTTCTCTCCCACAGTACGTTGTTGCTGATCGTGTCTAGCCAACGAATCCGAAGTATTTTGTGTAGACAGCTGTTAATAAATACTTGTATCTTCTGGATGATATCTTTCGTAGTTCGCCAAGTTCCCGCTCCATTTGTATTGAAAATCCTGATTTCGGTTTTGTTTGAAAGTTGTTTGGAGTTGTAGATATTTTTCAGCTGTGGAAATGCAGCCCTTGCTTGTCGATCCGCGCCCTCACATCTGCATCGGATCCACCTCGGTTGTCGATGATGCTGCCCAAAAATGTAAAGGTGTTAATGTCCTCCTTAATCAGAAAAATTAAGTTTGTAAGCGAGAAACTGGCAAGATCAAAAGCGCTTAAATCATAACTCATAATCAGAAGACTACATACATTGTCTGTTGGCTAGGACTGACATATCATGTATGTTTCAAATGGTTTCCCTGCAATACTGCTCGATGTTATATATATATATATATATATATATATATATATATATATATACATATATATATATATGTATATTACAGAGTTACTCAGTAAAATTGGAAAACCATATCGTAAATCGTTCATATGCAAAATATCAGTTCATCATATCGAACTGGACTGTTCCTGTTGCAAAACATCAGCGATCCATTGTCACTACTATTCATGCGTTTCATACAAATTCTATTGTTTTCTTCTAACTCTTCCTTTCTTGATCTTCTCCCATCTTCTGCTGCCAGACATTACGTTGACACTCACGTCATATACTACTTATAAGTAGCTCGCACCACATATATATCAGAACTTTTGAGTTATTCAGAAAGCTTTTAAAACCATAAGATTGAGGATGTTATGGGACTGAAAATAGGTGACTGCATACATTAACATTAGAGCGAATTTTTAAATAAATTTACTGTCCAAGTAGTCCCGTTGTCTGTTTCTACTGTATTAGATATCTATTCATGTCCATAGGTTTTCTTAACCAATTTTCGAGAAACATTTTCGCTAGGACTATTTGTCAGTACCTTTTTCGGCCACTCAAGACGTTAACAACCAATAAACTAAAGCGAATTGTCCACAGTAATTTGCACAGTAATTTTGATGACATGATTCATAAGGTGTAGTCAGAAGATTCCAACAGTGTGAAAATGGCAGGATTAAAGTTTATTTTTTTTCATAAACGTTGATGCTTGTTACATACTGCCTAGTTTCAACAGTTCGAGTATGGAATTGATTTAAAAACGAATTTACTGAACAAAAATGTTGCATACGATCTACTCAGGGGAAGATCAAAATTTTTAGTTACTGTAGTAACCTCCAGAAACTACTCTTATCTACTACAGATTTTCAGCAGGCAATGTAGATCGAATACGTTTTTCAATCAAAGGGTTAGGGTGAAGTTGAAAAATGATAAACGTCAGTATTCAAGATCTATATACAAGCAAGACAAATGTATCTGCACTTCACAACCTGTTAAATGGCTTGAATTCAGTTATACAAGTACTTGTCACATCTTCCTTTTTACTGCGTCCTCTAAATAACGTGCACCTATAATAGATGCCAAACTGATGGAAAGTTATTGTGTCTTGGCTTCTGATACTGAAAATATTCTTGCGTCTTATTAAAACTGTCCGTTTTCAAAGGCTGTGAGGATATTCATTCAATATCCTAAGAGAATTGTTGGTTAAATCCTTCCTATTGGTCGATTTCTATTGGTCAAAATTATGGTCATTTTAATTCTCAAAGTCAAATACTTAAATATTGTCTCTCATTGGTCATCCTGACTGTCAATGTCATTACAAATATTACTTCCTATTGGTCGTCTTAACTGTCGATTCCACAGAATTCGATGCTGTTTCCTATTCGACCAAAACGTATAAATACGCATTATCTGTAACGTTTATTGACCACGACTAGGACCAAGGCTCTGTCCCGAATCCTTAGTCCAGGATCCTGATTCTCTTCTAGATTAGGACCTCGTACTTTCTGGATGCTTGTAGAATACATGTTCTACTTCATATCACGTCTTCTTATGTTAGTTAAACTAAATATGGGGGGGGGGGTTGGGATAATCGGATTTGAGTAGTATATCGTGTCATTGTAAATAACAGTAAATAAAAACTTGTTCAAAAAAAAATTTCAGAAAATTTTATTGATGACAAAAATTCCGTGTACAAAAAGCATAGTCACTGTAATCCATTTATATTTTAAAAATAATCAGAAACAAACTATAAACTATAAACTACTACAAAATATATAAACGAATCAGGGAAAAAAATTGTTTTTTTCATTCGATTTCAATCGATCACAAAATATAAAAAAAAGATCAAAAATATTATGAAACGTTAATTAACGTTCAAGATTATTCAATTTCTGACAACTTGATTCAATCAATTGGAAACCTGTGGAAAAAAATAACAAAACAAAACGATACAATAATCAGTAATCTGATTCGAGTTAATTAATGAGAATGGCATTTTAGTGTATTTTAGTTACACTGTGTAAAACTTGTAACTTATTGTTTTGGTCACTGTTGTTTAAAATAATTGAATTGACTGAATGAAATGCATTTCTGTGAAGAGATTATATGGTGTGTGCTACTTATACGAACGATATAAGTAGTAGTATAAGAAGGGGGACGTGAAAGATGAAGAATTCGCACGGTCAAAAGAGGAAAACGGAAAGCAAATAGAGCACCGACAGGAAGTAAAGGAAGCAACAACAGGAATGGAAGAAGAAGGCTGGAGCGTTGGAAGTCACGAATCAGAGATGGTGTGCAAATAGAGTGAGTGTTCAATGTAATGTTTTCGTTTTTAATTGACTAAGAGTCTATCGAGCCTGCCTCAATCTTCTCAATCGGTGTCGCTGCCTTTACACAGGATGAAGATACCATGGCTCCGTTTTCCTCTTCTGACCGTGAGACTTCTTCTTCTTTCACGTCCATTCTTACACTACTACTTATATCGTTCGAATAAGTAGCACACATCACAATTAGACAACGGTTTTTTCTGTACTGAATAGGAAATTTGCCTAACTAACACTAACGAAGAATTACAGAGTTACTCAGTAAAATCGCAAAAACCATATCGTAAATTCTTCATTTGCAAAAAGATCAGTTCATCATCCTATCGAACTGGACTGTTCCTCTGTTGCAAACAACATCAACGATCCATTGTCACTACTATTCATGCGTTCGTTTCATACAAATTCCATTGTTTTGTAACTCTTCCACCTTTCTTGATCTTTCCCCCCCATCTCCCGTTGACACTCACGTCATATACTACTTATAAGTAGCTCACAACACACTACTTTCATTCACCATGCATAGTAACATTTATGAATCAGATAAGAAAATTTTCATGACAAAAGAATAGTAGGAAATAATCAGTATTCATAAATTGATAAAATTGTAGTCCAGAAGTGTTTTATACAACACGAATTCGTTAACCGATAATTATTTTCATGAGAAAATTAAGCAACATGAATAATGGATCAATTCAAGTTTAATTTTGGTTTATACTTAATATTTCAATTTTCCACTTTTTCTGTTAATGGATACTAAAATTAAAAATATTGAAATTGGAAAAAAGCATGTGAAAGTTGTCACAGTCACGGATAAATTGACAACAATCAAACAAAACCAAGAGGAAACCAATATGACCGAAAACATTGTGTAGAAACTTAAAGAATGCACTGTCGCCTTATGGTAAACTGCATTGGGTGGTTTTTCCACGAAACAAGTTGATAAAACGCTTTCTGACAATGATGAAGAGTGTGAATTTGTTAAAGGATGATATCCATGGTATTCAAAATAAACCGAAATATAAGTGATTGATAAATCATGATGACCATACCTGATGTATTTCGTTTTATATTCTTTCCTCTACGTCGATCTGTAAAAAAAAAATGAGTATTCAGAAATAAAATGGCAAGTGTATTTTTCGAGTAATACTCTTAATCAAACTTGCGAAAAGTATTGATAAACACAATCATATAACGCTGTACTAAACGAATACACATGCATGTTTTAGGAAAATATATAGAACAAGTCAGTCAGCTGTTACGGGTATGAGGGCGGTTATCACTTCACGGCTGCCCACACCATGGAAGGTTGTTTCTTGAGGAACCTGAAAAGGAAGATAGATTAGTGTTGGTCTCGGAGACCTGGTTGCGTGACCGCAGAGTCCAAGGGACAACTGCTTGAGGCCGGTCAAGCACAGCCTTTTTGAGGATTAGCTCCGTTCTTAAAGGCCCTTAGTGAGCACCCTTACCCAAGGAGACGGAAATCCGTGAGGTGGGGTGAGGTGTGACATCTTTAGGGTCGGCCTTTTCTGCCCATTCCTTCCTTGTCAGAAGGCAGCATCGCTGCAGATGCTGGTTGTCCGAGGGAAACACCTTACTGCTGTCACACCCCTCCATCACAGTCAGCAGTACGACTTCACCCTCAGACCTTGGGTAGCTGCTTTTAGTCTCATCGTTCTCCAATCGACCTGCCTGGCATGGTAGGACCTGCAGGAACATGTGTTCCAGCCAATATAGCTCGGTTGGGTCATCACGATCGGCAAGCCCGACCACCACGTCAAGGTAGCAGCTTCGGTCGAAATATAGAACAAGTGAAACGATAATGTAGGTGTATGTGGATTGTGAAATGATTGACAATGTTGATATGATCATAGGCTATTTGTGTAAAAACAATGAGACTGATGAAATTAAGGGTTAAGCGGTTATCTGAAAACTTCAAGAGATATTCGAATTTCCTTGACATCGTGTGTTTAAAAATATAAGCCTGATATCACTGGTTATCAGTTAAATTCCTATTTGAGATTCCTAATCAGTGCGTATTTACATATCTGCCAACCAGAATGAAAACAAAGACATTTGGGTAGGACACGTGAATATCTAATCGTCAGCTTTGTTCGGATAAACAAAACTCATCTGTTTGAAATGGTAATTAAAAGACGGAAGATTGTTAGCAGACAGTGTTACAGTTGTCAGTTGAACATTGAAGGTTTCATCAGATTCTTTGATATCATTTAAGATAACATGACTTTCCATGGCAAGCGAAACAATATTCACTATTGTTTACAAATGTAATACCCTGCTGCTTTAGGAATTAAGAGCAAACATAATTTTGAATGAGATAATGCGCATTTGTTTCACTTACCAATTCTTTTTCGATTTTTTGGTGTTTTACGACCTGTATCATAAGAAAACATGACAGACACAGTTGAGAATCTATATCAGGTAAAATGTCAAAAACACCAATCTCTATCTTTAAGGCAACATTATGAGAAGTCAGTCAGTTGCAACGTAGAACTTCGTACGTACGTACATCAGTTCATGTCGCCATACCACATCAGCACAGAGATATAATTGTCAATTCAAATCCCATAGTAGAAGAGGTAGTTAAGGTATTAGAAGTAATCGTAGACGTTAGAATTAGAAGATATTATTCACGAAGTATGATTCAATGAGATAAGTTTAGAAAGTAAAAGCTAGAGGTGTTGAAGAACCCAGAAGATTAGGATTTGAGAGAACACAAAGAATAAATGCACTGGTGCCATTGCAAACGATTTTGAGCCATGTGATTCAAGGTCTCTAACCATCGATTATTATCATCTCGCGGACCCCAACCAGGTAGTCGACAATTACCAACATGGCTAAGTCCACTCGTCAATGACTTCATGGATTTCTGCCATGTTTTGGTCTGGCCGCCCCTAACTTTCTTCCAACCTATTCCTACACCACAAAACAAAGCTCGACGAGGCAGTCGGTGGTTAGGCATACGCAACATGTGTCCCAACCACCTCAACTGATGAAGTTTCACCACTTCATCGATTGATCTGCCATCCTTACCTAGTACCCGTTTCCTAATAACAGCGTTGCTCACTCGGGTTCCCCACGATATACGAGCAATGCTTCGAAGACACCTATGATCGAAAACCAATAACCAACGAGTATCTTCTACTATCACTGGCCATGTTTCACAGCCATAAAGTAAGACGGAGCGAACTACTGCGCAGTACACTCGTCCTTTAGTCAGCAAACGGATATCCCGCCTACGCCATAAGTGACGCAGGTTGGCAAAAGCCAATCGAGCCTTCTGTATCCGAGCTGAGATTTCGTCAGTCACCAGGCTATCGGTACTGATGAGACTCCCAAAATAAGTGAAGCGGTCTACACGTTCGACCACTTCCCTCCCTATCACTAGTTCAGGTGCAGATGACACCCAATCTTGAAGCAACATTTTGCATTTCGAGGGGGAAAACCGCATCGCGAACATGCTTAAGATTGTTGCTTAGGGTAGTCAGAAGCCTCTGCATTTTTTCAGCGTCTTCACCAAGTAGGACAATGTCATCGGCATATTCTAAGTCAATAAGCGAGCCACCTGGTAAAAGGTCTACTCCAGAAAATTCAGACGAGGATAAGGTTATTTCTACGAGCATGTCTATGATAAAATTAAACAAGAATGGAGAAAGTGGACATCCCTGACGGACACCACTTGAAGTAGAGAATTCCGGTGACAGTTGGCCATAATGAGAAGAACGATGTTTAATTGAAATGACATCAATCTGAATTGCAAAAATATCTATGACCAATCAGCGCAAATTGTCAATTGAACGTATTGAGAATCGAACTAAAGACACACACACACACAGTGATGTATGAATGATTTAAACTTTCATTTGAAAAAGGCAAATTTAATCGCAAGTGCAAATATTTTGACTGTGAAATATAATACCGGATGTATAATTGACGAAAGTTAAATATCATTTCACTTACGATTTACACGTTTCAATGGACGCGTTTGATTTTCCTTAGGAGTAGCTTGATCAAAAATTAAAAAATAACGTAAATTTATTGACTCCAGTGTTGACAAGATTTAATAGACATCATCAACACAAAAACACCTGAACATTTTTTAATGACGAACAAATGTCATGTAATGCATATCAATGTTCCTGCCCATAAATCATACATACACACGGTTTATGTTATGATTGAAGTAAAACTGTTGACAACACGTGAAAGAGAAAGTTGAATTGTATTCAGTAATAAACGGAATCCAACATGATGAATATATCTTTTCCATTGATAATTGTTGTAACGCTTGCTTAAGATATTTCCCGGTTAAATCTTATTCTTGACACAAAACACTGGACAAGTAACCTGTTCTCCAAGCTTCGATCAGGCGCTGATTGGATAGAAATTTAGCCAATCAGAGCGCAGCAACGTAGTCGTGCTTTAATTTCATCTATGTCCCACTAACAACAATGATATATGACAAATTGATAAAGATATTATTGTACAAGATACACTTACATGAAGTATTATGATTCATGTTGTATTTGATAGTCATTTCAGTAGTTGTTTGTTGTGTTTTCATTTCATCCATTAATTTCGGTGTCATAACAAGTTCAGCTGATTTATTCAGAAATAATATCATGTTAACATGTTAACATGTCAAACATTTTGACAAATTCTACTCTGTATTCTCTTAATTAATCAAACTGCATGAATAAAAAGTAGTTCAGTAAAAAATACATCGTTGATTTCCGATATTAATATGCAAATCTGTAGTGAATGAGAACATAGGTGAGGGCAGCCGAATTGTATTGTATATAACGAAAATTACAGTGTTACTCAGTAAAATCGCAAAAACCATATCGTAAATTGTTCATTTGCAATATATCAATCAGTTCATCATCCTGTCGAACTGGACTGTTCCTCTGTTGCAAAACATCAACGATCCATTGTCACTACTATTCATGCATTTTTCATACAAATTCCATTCCATTGTGTTCTTCTAACTCTTCCTTTCTTGATCTTTCCCCATCCTCTCCCGCTGCCAGATATTACGTTGACACTCACGTCATATACTACTTATAAGTAGCTCACACCACAAATGTTTTGCAAAAAAAGCAGTAATCAATGACCAATATATAATAACTTAGGTGATGATAACACTGACAGACAGACAGACAGACAGAGAGTGATCATGAACATTTGCTGATTTTGGTTCTATATACCTTACAGAGCATATCAGTCAAACACACAGTGTACGCATAATTTCTTGGTTACTTGTACAACAAAAAAAAGAGGCTAGTGAAAAAACTGTCATCATTACTGTATAGTTTTGAGCATTTGTGATCAATTAAAAAAATAACCCTACAAAGTTACATTCAGTAACAATAACACTTGTCATTTTTTCCCCATGTTTACCAATCAGTCTATATATGGTCTTTACATATTTGAAATCATTAATCAATCATCATTGTTAGACCACCATTAGAAACCTGGAAGCACAAGACGGCCGTTTCGTCCTAGTATGGGACTCCTCAGCAGTGCGCATCCACGAACCCTGCTCCTCGCAGGATTCGAACCCGGGAGCTTTGGCATTGTAGGCGAACGTCTTACCATCGGACCACTAGGCCGGCATCCAACGGTATTAATGTCTAACTCTGATTGGTCTAAGGATTTTGCGCGACCTCACCCATTTGTGTTTTTTGGTAGTTACTGCCTATACCAGACAGAACTAAAAACTCCGAGAATTTCCTCACGAAGCTAGTCACTAGTGAGTACTGTTACGATATATTGGAGCACAGTTTTGGAGGTTTGCGTTTTTACGCATTTGAAATCATATATGGTCTACCGATTTACATTCATGTCACTCAATGAGAATAGATTACGTAACGAGTATGACTGATTTAAACCTGAAGCAAACATGAATTCATGTTTTTTGTGGTGGTATTCTTACGTGTTTTGTAGCATTGTTCATAGAAGAGGTGGCTCTCAACTTGAAAATTAGAAAATAAAATAATCAAAAATCAAAATCACATAATTCACCTTTTTTCTATGTTATAATTTATACTACTTTAATGAAATATAAGTAATATGTGTATTAATGATATCAATTTTATTACATACGTTGTGGTAATACTTTATACGCTATTAAAATAAAAGTAAAAAAAACCATTTGATTCTTTTCGGGAAAATTTTTTTTTGAAAACGAATACACCAATTCAATCTAATCAATAGTATGATAATGAACTCAAGCAAATCTTTCAAAAATGAACAGTATAGTTTATTTTGAACAAAATGTTTTCATATGAAGTACATTGCTGTGTTTATCTCAGTATGTGATTGTATGCGTGATCGTGAACGCAGAAATAAGCATGATAAACGATATCTCACTTACTTAGATCTTCAGATTGAACAAGAACTGTGATGAACAATGTAATGATAGTCAATAATGACAATGAATTACTACTTATCATTATTTAAGTGTATAAGTAAAAAATACTGAAAAAACTGATTTTTTCAAGTTCTAATATATAATTGCTGAATAGTTGACCTTCATTTTAACATGTCTGATTGTTGTACATTGGGTAGTGGATAAGATAAAGTGTAGGTGTTTTTAAATAATAAGAAAGTAACGAGGTGGGGGGGTGTGAGTGGTAGTTAGTGTAGGTAGCGTATTCAATGAAATCAGTCAGTCATCAGTCCAAATGGAAGAAGCCAATTATATACGAAGAATGTTACAATTCACTAGTCCGAAGGCGTATTTTTTGTATTCAAACTTGTATTTGGAATACAAGTGAACAGTCGCCTGTCTTACTTTATAAGACTTTCAGTCTTATGAAACACAGTCTGATCATGTCACACACTATTCGAACGTCAGTCAGTCAGATGCAACGTAGAACTTTGTACATAAGTACATCAGTTCATGTTGCCATACCACATCAGCACAGAGAAGTAATCGTCAATTCAAATCCAATAGTAGAAGAGGCAGTAAGGGAATTAGAAATAATTGGAGAGGTTAGGATTAGAAGATACTATTCAAGAAGTATGATTCAGTGAGACAAGTTTAGAGGGTCGAAACTGGGGGGTTGAAGAATCCAGAACATTAGCATTTGAGAGAGCACAGAGAATAAATGCACCTGCGCCATTGCGAACGATTTTGAGCCATGTCATTCAAGGTCTCTAACCATCGATTATTATCATCTCGCGCACCCCAACCAGGTAGTCGAACATTACCGACATGGCTCAGTCCACTAGTCAATGACTTCATGGATTTCTGCCATGTTTTGGTTTGGCCGCCCCTAACTTTCTTCCAACCTATTCCTACACTACAAAACAAGGCTCGACGAGGCAGTTGATGGTTGGGCATACGCAACACATGTCCCAACCACCTCAACTGACGAAGTTTCACTGCTTCATCTATTGATCTGCCATTCTTACCTAGCACCCGTTTCCTAATAACAGCGTTGCTCACTCGGTTGTCCCACGATATACGAGCAATGCTTCGAAGACACCGATGATCGAAGACCAGTAACCGACGAGTATCTTCTACTCTCATTGGCCATGTTTCACAGCCATAAAGTAAGACGGAGCGAACCACTGCGCAGTACACTCGTCCTTTAGTCAGCAGACGGATATCCCGCCTACGCCATAAGTGACGCAGGTTGGCAAAAGCCAATCGAGCCTTCTGTATCCGTGCCGAGATTTCGTCAGTCACCAGGCCATCAGCACTGATGAGACTCCCAAGACAAGTGAAGCGATCAACACGCTCGACTACTTCACTCCCTATCACTAGTTCAGGTGCCGATGAAACCCAGTCTTGAAGCAACATTTTGCATTTCGAGGAGGAAAACCGCATCCCGAACATGCTTGCATTGTTGCTTAGGGTAGTCAGAAAACTCTGCATTTTGTCAGCGTCTTCACCAAGTAGGACAATGTCATCGGCATATTCTGAGTCAATAAGTGAGCCACCTGGTAGAAGGTCTATTCGAACGTATTTGAAATCATCAATCAATCGTTGTTAGACCACCATTAGAAATCTGGAAGCACTGGACGACCGTTTCGTCCTGCTATGGGACTCATCAACAGTGCCGATCCACGACTCCTGCACCTCGCAGTAATTCGAACCCGGGACCTTCGGCATTGTGCACGAATGCCTAACCATCGGACTACTGGGCCGTCATCCAACGATGTTAATGTCTAACTCTGATTGATCTAGGGATTTTGCGCGACCTCACCCATTTTTGTCATCGGTAGTTACTGCCTACCGCTGACAGGGTTGAACTCCATTGGTCACGTCTTGTCAACTAGAACTAAGAGAATTTCCTCACGAAGCTAGTCACCAGTGAGCACTGTTAGGATATTTTCGGGCAGAATTTCTGAAGGTTTGTGTTTTAACCCATTTGAAATCCAGGTTTCTAATGGTGGTCTAACAATGATTGATTGATTATTTCGAAAATTCGAACGTAATCAAACTACAGTGGTGATCATGGTTAACTTCGTCCCACCAAAATTGAGGAATGCAGCTTCTTACACTCTCCACAACATCATCTGCTGACGTTTCTTTACAAAGAAGAGCAATCACGGTGAGTGTTTAATCCATCTTCTCTCTTTTATTTGTCATATCGAAACTGTTTAATGTATATCATACTTGTACGTCACCTCTTGAATGAAACCCGAATAATGACCTAAATAGTTGTCAACTACAGCTGCATTCACGGTCGTCTCATGTTTCGTCATTCTTATCACTTGTGTACAGAGAATCAAAGTGAGACGTCACCAAACAGCTGAACTTCCTAAACTGAATCAGATTTTATTCTACCTTATTTAATTATTAAAGTGAGAATGAAACAAGTCACATTTTACTGATTCACTTTTACCGCTTCTGTTTTAAAACACACACCAAAACAGTGAGAGCGTTTTGATGATGATGATGTAATGTGCATGCTAAACGATTGAATTAAATTAGTCCAGAGAATACACGGGGTCAACAAATTCTTTATTAATTCCATCATATTAAAGCCGGATTACGTCTGTGGTGGTGTTTCGTTCTCTGAGCTGGTTGTTTTAGTTGTGGAGCTTTCATTGTTCTTCTACTGAACAACATCATCAGCATAAACTTCAGATAGAAGAAGTGAAGCATTCGAATTTCTCCACATTTGACCTGTAGCTTGCTTGTTCTGCTAACCTCCATCTTCATTGGTTGTTTGCAACTTTGTTTTGATTGCACCCCCCTTTTGATCTGTTTCTTGATCCTATGATTTTTCTGATTGGTTGATAAATTGAGTCAATGTCAGTGTGTTTGTTGGTTACTGACTGGATTAAGTGCCAAGCTTCTAAAAATTCTCTAATGTTCTTTGTCCTCCCCCCTACCCAGTATTTCCACATTGTTCCAATCAAATGTGGAAATACTGGGTAGGGGGAGGACAAAGAACACTAGAGAATTTTTAGAAGCTTGGCACTCAGGCCAATCAGCAATCAACAAACACATCGACATTGACTCAATTTATCAACCAATCAGAAAAATCATAGGTGACACAGGATCAAGAAACAGATCAAAAGTTTTCTCCACCACCGGATTACGTCTGCCAGGATTAGGAAAACTATGTCAGTTCTAAATCACGATATAACGCAAGCAAAACAGTTAATGAAGAAGATCAGCTACATTTTAGATAGCTATTATCGTTATTACTATCAAACTTCTTGGAAGGTCTATGGAACGAATCACCAAGATTCTCATAATGTACTGCTGAAATGAACTTGACAAAAATATGGTTAAAGCTTCCTTTCAAATACTCTTCACAAATCTCCAACATATCAGAACACAATGCCGTTGTAGTGCCTCCACGTATATTCGAGTTTGCTTACATTTAATTTGGCTAAGTCCTTTCGATTAACTTATGTAACGAAGCTATTTGTATACCAACAACCCATATGTACCATTGGTATTTTTTATTGTATCAGTTTGTACAACTGAACATTGCTTACGCCTACGCGCTTACTCATCCTTTTCACTTTAATGTTAATCTCTTAATATCCTTATGAACTCACATGATTTGTCTCACTTATCATTTGACCTTGTCAATCATTCGTCGCTTTTATTCATGTGTGTGTGAATGTCTATTTCGCTTGTCATATGTCTGTCTTTCATGTTCTATTTCTAGGAGTTGGCTCAAAAGCCTACTCCAATTCATGTCTCTTCATTCGTTTTATTCACTGCTTCTCCGCTTCACTTTGTGGTGTATCCCAAATAAACGTATTCAGAACTACTAATTCACCTTCTTATTTATAAACTGTCAGATGCTAGTTAGTAACGATTGTTTGGATGAGCTAATTATCGAGCTTAAGAACACGTAGTAAATCGGCACACTACACCGTCATATGAAGTTGTTAATGTAGTCGAGTAGAAACGGAATAATAAACTTTGCAAACGATGCACATTTAAACAATCAGGTCGACTAGGAAACGACATTAAAATATGTGTCGTTGAGAGTTCGACAAGTAGCGATTGACCAATAAAATTAGACTTACAAAAATAAAACTCTTGAGATATTTGATGAATATCCTAAAAGTAATAGGTTATATGATTCATTCACTGCCGAAATTTAGGATAGTCAGTGGATTTATTCTTTTAGAAAGACAACAGTAAATAATGTAATCTTAATTACTTACACCTGTTACCCCCAATGGAGCATAGGCCGCTCACCAGTTTTCTCCAACCAACTCTGTCCTGGGCTTCCCGCTCCAGTTCTGTCCAATGTTTATTCATTCCTCTCATATCTTTCTCTATTTCTCGGCGTAATGTGTTCCTTGGCCTTCCTCTTTTCCTTTTGCTTTGAGTGTTCCATGTGAGGCCTTGTCTCGTGACGCAGTTAGGTGCCTTTCGTAATGTGTGTCCTATCCACTTCCACCGATTCTTTCTGATTTCCTCTTCCACTGGAATCTGACTTGTTCTTTCCCACAGTTCGTTGTTGCTGATGGTGTCTAGCCAACGATCCGGAAGTATTTTGCGTAGACATCTGTTCATAAACACGTGTGTCTTCTGGATGATGGCTTTGGTAGTTCTCCATATTTCCGCTCCATAAAGTACAACCGTCTTCACATTTGTATTGAAAATCTTGATTTTGGTTTTGTTTGAAAGTTGTTTAGAGTTGCAGATATTTTTCAATTGTAGAAATGCAGCCCTTGTTTTACCAATCCACGCCCTCACATCTGTATCGGATCCACCTATGAAAACGTCTGTAACAATGGGACTGAACGATTCCATCAATGAAAGGTGAATGTATGCACTTGTTACGAACTTGAAACAGCAGGGAGATTTTAGTTGAATAGAATCAAGTGCCTACTACACGAAAAAGTGTAGTTCAAGAAATCTGATGATGATTAATGATTTGGGTAGTTTGAAGTAAAATATGAGTGAAATGGTGAACAAAATCAATTTATGTTTAGCTAAGTTACCTTCATTTTGCGACATTGAAATAATGTTGAAGACGTTAGATCCCCAGAACTCA